GTTTCACTAAATAAGTTTTCAAGTGCTACATTTCTGTAATGAAACAGAAACGTTTCTAGTTAATGTTTCAAATGTTTAGTAAAACATCTCATTTGTAACGTTTCATTTACGTTTCGTGTTTAGTGGGTTTTTAAAAAAATAAAGTAGTGTATTCATTTTCAAAATTAGTTTAACTAAATAAAATATTTTATTAAAAATTTCCAATCTAATATTCTAATATTTTCTTAGCTTAAGAAAATTTTTGAATGTCTAGGGAGGGCAGCTGCCACCCCCCACCCCCCTTTGGCGACGCCCTTGCCTACCTCCCCCCACTTTTTAAATTCTGTAGATTGCTTTATTTTAATACGACAATGTAAACCAGTAATCTGTGGTGTAAACCATAGATAATTATGTTGCCTTAGGTACAACTACTGTTCAAATTTTTAATCATTTTTATTTACAAATAATAGAAAAATATTGGACGTACCTATTAACGTCANAACATCAACATCTCTATAGGTATGTACCTATTACATATATAAAATTTTATAGAACATTATTATATCATAAAATTATCTCTTTAATAATATTTTTACAAAGTATATTCCCTGATATGGATATCTGTAACAAACCATTTTTAGTCGTCAGAGAGGAAGGTCAACTAGCGACGCGTGGGTAACACTACATATTAAAAGAAACCAGCCTTGTCCTCTTGTCCAAATAAGAAGCCATACACTTTTGTTTTTCTTTGTTTTCGTTTTAAATCGGCACCCACTTGATGAAATTAAATAAAAATGAATGAGGGTCAATAATTTTTAGTATATAATATGTTGTATAATATATACGGAGTACAGCGGTTCAATATGAAAACCATCTGTTAGAAATTAAACCTGACTAAAACGTTTGTCCAAATTTTTATCATGGACTTTACTCACAAGTTGGTTTTCGTTCAAAGGCATGGAATTTTTGTTCGAGTACAAACTATGCCCCATTTTTTTTCGTTCCAAGTTATTTAAAATTTGACTGTATTATGATAGGGTACTAAATATTTTACAAATGTGTATTCTTACTGCACGTTAAGTAGAATGTTTTTTTTTTTAAATGCGAAACTGATAAGCCTTGGCTATACCTACTATGTACCTAACTATTGCTAAATATCATGCAAAGCAGCAAATTATTTTCATTTAAGTCGAGATAATCCAGATAATTTCATTAATTTTGAACATTTTGTACATTGAAAACGAAACTTTTGGGTATATGTTTCGAGGATTCATATTAGAAAACAGTAGGTTAAAATATAAAATAAGATTATTGTAATATGTTATAACCTTCAAACAGATTTCTCAATTTATTTTCTATATAATCATTGACCTGATATTGACATAATTTTCCTCCATTCACAAAATTCTTATTTATCATTTAGGGTTCATTATCAGCAAAAATGTCCCATTTTCTTTTCATGATTAAGACGAACGTAAGTCTCACAAAAACAAATGAAAAAGTAGGTGTAGTTTTAAAATTTTATTTGAAAACTAAAAATGCCATCGCCACAACTTCAATACATACGTGTATACATTTACTAATCGATTCACTAATACGGTTACATGAATTATTTTTTATAATTATATTGTTTAGCGGGATACATACTTAAAATTAATTACCACAAACCAGACGAATATCCACCTGGTGGTACGCGTTGTGGAGTTTTCTTCTCAGGTTCAATAACTGGACTCTGGACTTCGACTTGGTCGTCTTGCCTGATAATACTGCTTATAGTATCGGGTTTTGATGTTGCCTTGGTTTCACTTGGACGGTCTTCCAGTTTTTCGCCGTTTTCTTCGTTGATGCTCAAATTTTCAATCTTAAGTTCTTCAGAATTCGACTGTTCCACTTGCTTGTTGTTAGTTACGCTATCACTATCAGACTTTTCCTCGGGGTTGATTTGATTCTTTGTATCCACGTCGTTCTTTGAAGGGGTGTTTGGGGCGGATTTAATTTCTTCGTTTTTGGCTTTGACTGGGCCTGTGCCAAAAATATCTGAGGATCCGCCACCTGGGGGCTTCAAAACCCTGCTGCTGCTCCTCTGGTCGTGAAAGCCGACGTAAATATTTGCCATTGTCCTGAAAGGATTAATTAACCTTAAACTTTCTTCTCTAATTGTAAGGGCTAAATATAATATTAATACACGAAACGTACAAAATGGACTGTGCGAATTTAATTGATAAACTTAGGTATTATCTAATCGAATAGAAGGATTTTTTACTTTTTTAGAGAACAAAAATTTGTTAAACGTGTAATATTTATATATAAGTATACTTATATGGTTTATTTTTAAATAAATGACTAAAGTTAATGAGTGCGCAAACTTTCCATGTCAACTACTACTTACATATACTGATGGGATTCCAGATAAAAATTGTATTTATTTGTATTAACTTTATTTTATTTAGTAGTCCATACTTTTATCAAAAATGCCTCTTCTTCGGTACTTAATTTTCGAGATACAGCTCGTTAAAATAAAAAAAAATATTTTGCCTGTGCAAATAGTTTTTGCAATAGTGCTAACAGTATTTCCATTTTATTTGGAAAACGAATAATTTTCGAGTTCCTATTTTTTTTTTAAATCTAAACCTTATCGCATTTGGATAAATCAGGAAGAAACAATTTTACAAAAAAAAATCTACAAAATTTGTGTTTGTTATAAATACGATTTTAAATACAATGTCATCATAAAACGTTAAAAAAATTATATCGGGGTATATAGAAAATTTTTTAGGAGCAATATCACTTTTGAACTTCTGATAACATTATATTGAAAATAGCATTTATAACAAATAATTTCAAAAGGACTTTTGTTTCAAATGAACAGTTTTATAATTATTATCAATTTATTCCACTTTGTAGTGCTACACTATTTTTTAATTTAATAAAATAAAAAATAGAAGACGTCATTTTTCATTGAAATACAATTATAAATCAAAACGTCTTGTAAAATTTCGAAAATATTCAGTGACCTCAAAATGTTTCCTGGGAATAGCAAATTAAAGAGTAACAAAAAATGACACAAATAAATAACAACAAACACCTTCAAAAAATGCTGAGCTTATTTGCAAGTTTCCGTTAGCTGAAAAAATATGAAAAATTATAGTTTTTTTAATTTATTCATCTAGACAAGGCGAAAACCTCGCATTCGTGGGAGAAATTTTCCGACTCGATTTTTTTGCATATTCAGATTCGTGAGATGTTTCTTAACATGAATCAAGATGATGCCGGTCGGAAATCTGGTGCCCATTTGTTTAAACAAACTTTTTTAAAACAAATTGTAAAAATTGGTTTTTTCACTCCGGAAAATTTTGTTTAGGTTTTTTGGCACATTATAAACAAAAAAGTTCCTATGTACTACGCCACTAAAATTGATAGTTTTAAAGTTATAAACAATTTAAATTGCTAAAAATGCGAAAATTACGATTTTCAACGGCTGATTTCCGGGTTAAAAATTGTTATTTTTGATTTGATGTTGCCAGGTACCTAAATTAAAGTTTAAACATCCCTCTACAAGATGCTGAAGAGTTTTTGGGACTCGTATTATTCTAAAGCCTTGTTTTTTAATTGTTAATAAAGCGCTATGAGCCGCGCGCGCGCCTCTCTCATATGCGGATTCGCTATTTCGTCTAGCGGCTTCAGCTTATTATCATTTCCAAAGATCCATTACCCACAGACTTAGTTAAACAATGTAAATATACAAAAAACTGTAAGACTAAAGCTTGTTCTTGTAGGAAAAACTATGCCACTTATGTACCTTTATGTGGTTTGTAACATAGAACAGTGTGAGAATTCTTATGATTGAATAAATGCATGTGTGATAATAATAATATGCAGTATTAAATAAATGTTCTTTAATAAAAATCAAACGTATTTGATACTATTGCCCCTTTAATTTTTTCTGCACTATTCGTAAAATTTTGAATTAACTAAATAAAATTATTATGAAATTTAAATAATCAATTTTTTGCATTATTTTATGAGTAGTAATAGTACTTAGAATGCTAAATTCAAAGAACATAAACTGAAGCCGCTAGACGAAATAGCGAATCCGCGTATGAGAGGCTCGCGCGCAGCTCATAGCGCTTTATTAACAATCAAAAAACAAGGCTTTAGAATAATGCGAGTTCCAAAAACTCTCCAGCATCTCGTAGGGGGATGTTTAAACTTTAATTTAGGTACCTGGCAACATAAAAAATAACAATTTTTAACCCGGAAAATGGCCGTTGAAAATCGTCAATTTCACATTTTTAGCAACTTAAATTGTTTATAACTTTAAAACTATCAATTTTAGAGGCATAGTGCATATAAACTTTTTTGTTTATAATGTGCCAAAAAATTTTTCCGGAGTGAAAAAACCAATTTTTACAATTTGTTTTAAAAAAGTTTGTTTAAACAAATAGGCACCAGATATCCGGCCGGCATCATCTTGGT